ATTGCGGCCCTCGGCCGGCGGCGGCGGGCGGCGGCGGCGGCGGCGGGGACCCCAGCAGGCGAGCCAGGCGGCGCAGTCCTGGAAGATGAGCAGCCCCAGCACGTTGACGGCCAGCCCCAGCGCGCCCACGATGAGCACCAGCTCGGGGTCGTCGATGCGCTCGGGCCGCGCCAGGCGCAGCACGGCCTCCACGGAGATGGTGAAGCAGAGCGCGGTGAGGAAGACTGCGTTGCTCAGCGCGCCCAGCACCTCGGCGCGCGCGTAGCCGTAGGTGGCCCCCAGGCCCCCGCGGGGTCGCCGAGCCACGTAGCCGGCGCCCAGCCCCACGCACAGCGAGATCAGGTCGGACAGCATGTTGAAGGAGTCGGACAGCAGCGCGATGGAGTTGCCCAGGTAGCCCGAGACCAGCTCGGCCACGAAGAAGGCGACGGTGAGCACCAGCATGAAGAGCAGCCGGCACGTCTTGCCCGAGTAGCGGCCCATGTCGCCGGGCCCGCCGCCGGTGGGGGCGCCCCTGCGCGGCCCAGCCCGGTGCCCGCCTCTGGCCTCGCTGCCCGCCCGGCCCCGGGCTTCTTATAAGGCGGAGGCAGAGCGCCCCCGGTCCCGGCACGTCCAGAGTCTAAGGGAGTGGCCGCGGCGGCAGTCTCTGAGGGCCCTCGGGCCGCCTGCGGGGCCCCTTCTCCCTTCCCGCGTCCAGGCCCCACTTGGCAGGTGGCCACGGGCCAATGTCTGGCCTTCTAGGACAGCGCGGGGCAGAGACGGAGCTGCTGGGGAGAGGGGGCGTGTCTGCAGCGCCCTCCTCCCCGACCCCCTGAGGCCTGGGTAGGATTCACCCACCGACCCCGCTTCCCCAGTCCCTCCAATCCCAGTGCGCCGACTGTTGACTCTGGGCGATAAGGACCTTGAGCTGCGGGGTGTGTGCTCTGCGGTGAACGTGGACACCTTCGCGTAGGTGCCCAGACGGGGCTGGTATTGTAGATTCTATATTAACCCGGGGAGGCCCCGGCCAACCCTGCCCAGCCTTCAGGGTGCGCCCTGCTTTGCCTGTCGTAAAGCTGGAGCTGAGCCCTCACGTAGCATCCCCACTCCACTACAGCCCGTGGGCTATTTTATTCTCTCGCCTTGCGCATCGCCTTCGCGCCAAGAGCGGGTTATCGGTGCTGTCACCCCCTCACGGCACAGTGTCGTCCCTGTCCCCCACCCCCACCCCACCCCCACCAGCACCTTCACTCACAAGGCCTCCCACCAGGTGAACTGCGGGTGGCCCTGGAGGAGAGCACGGATCATACTTTTGTACGTTTTGTTAAAAAAAAAAAAAAAAAGTCTTGAGGATCCAGGAGAAAACAAAAGAAACTGGAGAATACGTTAAGTTAGAGGCAGAGAATTAAAGCCGGGCTGCAGAGGAAGGGAATTTAAAAAAACAAACAAACAAGCATGGCACCCTACAGCGCTCAGAAATGCGCTTTCCCGGTGGTGGGCACAAATCCCTTGACCACCTAAGAAGCGAGGCCAGGCCTCCTCTGTGTACTTGCCTCATTTTCCATTGCAGAGAATATTCTACTCACCCCCATGTGTCCCTCAGAGAATGACCTGGTACTCAAAGTTCAATCGCCTGCCCTCCATGAAGGTTTATTCCAAATAAAGCCTTTCCTGTTGACCACAGGCTCAGTTCCAAGTAAAAGTTATCCAGAAGAGAGCTGTCCCCAGGACTCTGGGAGAGGCCGAGCACCAGAATCCTTGACGAAGGGTGTTTCCTGTTGGGTGTTCAGGGAGGGGTGGTGGGAGAGCCCACGATTTTCTTTCTTGGTTTTTGTTTTATGTTCTTTTCTCATTCCCAAAACGATCTGAATGTGAAGTCTGGTGATCTCTATTCCCCCTCTCCTGTTCCTAACCCCTGAACTTTAACCATTCCTGAAACACATCTGGTTTGGGCTTGGAAAGAAATGTGTCCATTTAGCAGCACGCTCTGATTCTAGCCCCAGTCATTGCCTTAGCCTTATGAAACATGATCTTGTCTTTTAACATTCTCTAAGGGTCTCTAACAAGCATCCTTGATCCGAGGGTGCCACCTTACCCAAGATGAGCACCCAAACTCAAGACGCCCATTAAGCATTCCCTCCCCGCCTCCAGGAAAATATCCCTACGCTGAGAACTTGAGGACACTGATCATTTAAAGTATCTCTAAAAATTAGTATGAAAATGGTCAATAATTTAAAAGAAGCAAACAGATAGGTTGATGAAAGTTTTGAAGCGGTCTGGCCTTGGACAAGATCCTTAATTGTTTGGGCTGGTTTTCACTACTGTAAAAAGGGAATAATAATAGGGTCTTCTCATATGTTTGCGAGGATTAAATGGGTTAATAAGTATAAAGTGATTATAACAGTGCCTGGCACACAGTAAGCACTCCATAAATTGCTAGCTGCTTATTAAAAAGAAAAAAACAACAGGAAGAAAAAGAAGGTGTGGCGTGAGGGGGAGGAAACTGGGCAGGAGGAGGACGGAAGGGCAAAGTGGTTCAGGGGGCCACGTTTCATCGTTAGCATGCTAGTATTGACATTAGCATCACGGCAGACGTGTAGCAGACTGTTGAACTACAGATGTCTTACTCTGATACGAAGAAAGATATCCCAGTTTCTGGCTTATACTGTCTTCAAACTGTGAAGCCTTTGACACCCATAAGGCGGGACAGCAAGCAAAGCAGTCAGAACAAGACAGAAGCCTTGTGCAAATCCCTTGACAGTTTTCCTACAGTCCCTGCTGATTGCATTTGTCATTCACAACTGAAAGAAAAACCCGAGGTCAGCAGAAATATATCACTTGTGCCTGTTACCCAGTCGTTCTCCTAACTGAAGGCAGATAAGAAGAATCATGTCGCTGCCCCAGGAGGTCAGTTGATGGAACTAGAAAGCCAACAGGCAACTGAGGAAGCCTTGGGCTTGGAAAGCTGTGTCTGAGGGCCCCTGCCCAGGGCTGGGCTTTCGAGACAGGCTGAGGGTGTCAATAAAATGCACTTAAGAAAAATGTTTTGACTAGCTAACTATGATTAGATGGATGGATATGTAGGTAGGTAGGTAGGTAGATAGATAGATGGGTAGAAAGATAGATATAGTTTATATACAGGGAGAATATATATATAATCTAAGTTAATTGACAAAAATTTAGGCTGTGTCTTACACTTTCCTGTATATGATGAGGTTTCAAAAGGTTTGTTTAATGGGCTTTGACTGTCCGGCCCTGTGCTGAGCACTTTATAGGCATTACCTCATTTCATCCTCACAACTGACTCATCAAATAAGCACTTATTTTATTGGTGAAGAACCCAGAACCCAGAGATTTTAAGTCACTTGTCCAAGATCACACAATATGTAACTGATAGAATGGAGATCTGATCTAGGCATCAGACTCTAGGGCTTACAGTCTTCACCCCCACATTATCCTGATTTGATAATTTTCAACACTCCTTTTGTTCTTTTTAAGTTTTACTTTTATTGGCATAGAACTTGATGCACTACAATTTACAAAGTCAGAGATTGTAACACTAAAGGTTCTTCCTACACTGGTATTGACTCAGAAATTAACAAACTTTTCAGGAAATTGAAAAAGCAGCTGTTTTTGTTTTCGTTTTTTTTTTCTTTGAATTTTTTTAATGTTTATTTATTTTTGAGACAGAGGGAGACAGAATATGAGCAGAGGAGGGGCAGAGAGAGGGAGACACAGAATCCGAAGCACGCTCCAGGCTCTGAGCTGTCAGCACAGAGCCCGATGCGGGGCTTAAACTCACAAACCTCGAGTTCACGCCCTGAGCCAAACTTGGACGCTTAACCGACT